TTTGGAGGTTAAGTTGCTAAATTTTTAGGTTATGGTGCGTAATTTTGAGGTTAAGTTGAAAAATTTGGAGGTTATGTAATGAAAATGTTCAAGTTATTTTTCCACTTTTAAGAAAATAATATTCCGTATAAGAAAAAAAGAACTCAAGTTACAAAAATAAACAACTTTTAATAAACAAAATAAAGCTTTTTAGTCCAATTTTTTGTGCAGCACAAAAAAAATAATACTCGAGAATTTTTTTTGCTCCACTTTTATTATTTTTCATGAACTCACAATGAAGATTTGTGTGAAAAAGATTTTATGTTTGCAGTTCATGAAAGAAGTGAGGGAAAAAAAGAGAGAGCAATGGTGAAAATATATAATCAAGTTAAGTAAAAGTGACAAGTTTTTGTGATATTGTCTCATGTTGCATTATATTCTTTAATATTTTCTGGGTCAGTGAAGATGTAACCTTAAAATTTAATGTCATGTAGTTAAAATTCAGCAAAATGACATTAAATTTGGTTACTTAACCTCACAATTTTAAAAATATGCAAAATAAACTCAAAATATTAAGACATAACCTAAAAAATTGACAACATAACCTCAACATTTGGCAACATAACATCAAAATTTGGCAACATAACCTCAAAATTTGGCAACATTACCTCAAAATTTTTCAACATAAGCTCAAAAGTAGGCAACATAACCTCAACATTTGGCAACATAACATCAAAATTTGGCAACATAACCTCAAAATTTAGCAGAAAACAACTTCAAAATTAGGCAACATAACCTCAAAATTTGGTAACAAAACTTTAAAATTGACAAAACCATAACAAAATTTGGAAACATAACCTAAAAATTTGGCAACATAACCTCGAAATTTTATCAAAATACCTTCAAAATTTCTCTAAACTAATCTCTAAAATCACTTTTAAAGCCATTCATTCAATTTTCTTGCATTTAATATCCATTTTGTCACTGTCACTCATCTGCATGCAGCCATATCACTTCATACAATAACACCGTAAAATGTCCCATAATTCTTCATCATTCTAAGTCCTCACATGCATATCGGCTATGACTTTTTTTCTGCTATTAATTTCTTATAATCCTCTCGTTCATTTTTAAAAGCTTTTTTTACTCTTCCTCTATTATATGAAATTCTTGTTTATGCATGAGCATATGAGTGTGCCGTTCATGCATGTTGGAGGAGCAGTGGGTGAGTAAACAATATGTTCTTGTGAGAAAAGTATCAGAATTTTTTAACTCATTTTTTTAAATAAACCAGATTCTGAACGGACTTTTATCAGATTTTGAGCGGACTTTTACTAGATTCCGGGCGGACTTTGAATTTTGACAGGGTTCAGTTTCTTGATTATATTTTGAGGCTGGGTTTTATGCGACCTACTGTAAACCTAGATTGTTCATTAGCTATATTCAAGAGCCTGGCTTTATTATTACCGAGAAATATGAAATAACATAAACAAATAAAATCTCATTTCCCAACACAGCACAAAAGCCAACAAAAACGAGAAAAACATCTCCATATACCCAAAGCAACAATATCAGCAGCAAAAAGTGCTTAGAGTTGCATGAATTATGGATTATGGGAGCAATGTCAGCTAGAAAAAAAATATTTCTCTTCAGGCTTCCTCCATTATTGCCAGTAAAACAAAGAGGAGTCTCGACAATCAATTGATTAAGGACTTTTACCCTTTAGCCATAAGTGCTTCCGTCTCTTGTTTAACAGAATAGCTTTGTTGACTCGTAATGGATGCTTTGAAAATGGAGGGGGTTGGTATGGTGTTATGGATAGACTTTAAGGTTAAGTTGCTGAATTTCGAGGTTATTTTGCTGAATTTTGAGATTATGTTGCTGAAATTTGAGGTTAAGTTGCTGAATTTCGAGGTTATTTTGCTGAATTTTGAGTTTATTTTGCTGAATTTTGAGGTTATGTTGCTGAATTTTGAGGTTATTTCGCTGAAATTTGAGGTTATGTTGCTGAATTTTGAAGTTATGTTGGTGAATTTTGAGGTTATTTCGCTGAAATTTGAGGTTATGTTGCTGAATTTTGAGGTTATGTTGTTAAATTTTGAGGTTAAGTTGCTGAATTTCACAATTTTTAATTTTGAGGTTATGTTGTTGAATTTACAGGTTCAAATGCTGAATTTTGAGGTTATGTTGCTGAATTTCGAGGTTATTTTGCTGAATTTTGAGATTATGATGTCGAATTTTGAGGTTATGTTGCTGAATTTGAGGTTATGTTGCAGAAGTTGTAGGTTAAGTCGAAAGTTTTTGAGGTTAGTTTGAAAATTTGTGAGGTTATAAAGCCTAAGTCACACACCCTCACTTTACTTACACAAAACACAAGCTAATCACAACTTATTCATAAATTTTTCCCAGAATACCTCTTGTTTGCTCTTCAATCGGAAGAACCATGAACACAAAGAGCAAAGTAGCAATGTTAAGCATTTTCCGTATCTGCTTGCATGCTGAAGCATCAGTTCCTCTCATTCTTGTGCAAATATTTCTCTAAACAATTTTTTTTTCTAATTTCCTATTGTTGGACAATGTTTTTGTTCGAGATTGTTTTCTATGTAAACAGAAAAAAAGATTTAGGCATTTTTAATAAATTTTTTGCTGACTTTATCTGTTGTTAAAAAAATAAATTTAAGGAAAAATGAGGAAATTAAATTTTTATGCTTGATTTTGCATATTTTTTGAAGAAATATTGATCGGCAATAAGCCCCCGTCTAGAAATAAAAATAAATGATAAATGAACATAACCTCAAAAGACAGTTCAGTTCATCAACCACTTGATTAATCCACAAAAGGTTCATTCGTGCTGAATTCCTCAATATTCAACATACCAACTCAACCTTTCAAGTCATAAATCAAATATTCCGTGACACAGGTCCTCCACGTTGAACTTAAATTGAGTGCAAAAAAGTGTGAAACAAAAAGCTAAGGTCGAAAAAAAAAATAAAAAGTCACAGGTCAAAATTGATGTGAAAAGTTCCTTGCACCTTCATCAAAAGAATCTTTTTTCATTTTTGACATATGCCATATTGGATTATTGATTTATTGAGTGTAGCATCTTTTTGGGGCATCAAATAAGTTATTCAATGGACATAAAGAAAAATTATTGAGGTAGAAGATGAGGTATGGAAGGTAAGTGTGGTAATGGTACTCAAGGGGTGTGCAACTATGAATTTTAATGGTTTTTAAATTGGAGTGTTAAACTATGAACTTCATTAATTCTCAAGTGGTGTCGAACTTAGTCGCTCAATCATTCCCAATTAGGTTTCAAACTTAGTCGCTCGATGATTCCTAAGGGGTTTAAAACTAAGTCGCTCAAGGGATGTCAAAATAAGTTGCTCAAAAATGACCAAAGGATGTCAAATTAAGCTCAATGATTTCCAAGGGGTATCGAACTAAGTCTCTTAAAAGGCGTCAAACTAAGTTGCTCAATATTTAACAAGGGGTACTAAACTAAGTCTCTTAAACTATAAACAATTAATTTAAAGAATTGTTAAACAAGTCTATAAGTGGATATTAAGGGGTGTGAAACTATGAACTTTTGACCATTTTATGCTTGGATCTTTACAAATTTGAACTGTTAAGCCCAACAAAAGAACAATTCCACAGTAATCTGTAAACAAAACATCCAACAGAAATGCTTCTTCCTTTTTGTACAATAATGAAGCACATAAAGCTTAAAACTACACAGATGAATGAGAATAAATTGTTAAATTATGGTCACATTTAATCTTCCTTTCATTCCTTTTTATATGCTGACCTTTTTTTTCTTCATTTCCCTTCACTTTTTGTTCCGTACGGCTTTCTTAAGTCCACTTAAAATTCCTTCTTTTTAATATTTTTTGACCCTTGCTGTGATTTTCGTCAGATTTTTTTATTTAAAGCAGTTTTAAGTAGTTATTTGGATATCCTTAATTAAGAACATACAAATACAAAATGACAGAAAATTCTGACAAAAATCCTCACAAGGAACCCATTTTTCCACTCATATGCACACCCATACACACAGCAGAGACTGTTGGGCTTCGAGGAATGAAAATATGCTCTCTTTATTTTGTTCTTTTTCACTGGCTAAGACCATCGGCATCATCGCTTTTGAAATATATGAAGAGAAAAAAAAAATAAATATTTTGTGGAAATGAAATTTTTTGCTGTAGATTAAAATGTTTTCCTTTATGCTGAATTTAAGAAATGGTTTATTGTTGTTGTTTTGGGCACTTTGGATAGGGTTTGGATGTCTAGGCTGGGAAAAACTTTGTAAGATACAATTTAAGAGTTTGATTTGTAGTGTCGAACTAGTTTTATTTGTAAGGTCAAGCTATTCTTGTGTAATGAGTTGAGCAAACCTCGTTAAACAAGTCAATAAATGATAAAAATGCGCTCTAAACATTTGAATACTCACTGAGTTTCCTAACTTCGCCCCACTGCCGTTCACAATTCGAGAATATTTCTTGAACCAGAAAAAAAGGATCTCGAAGAAAATTCTTTTATTTTTTCATATGAAAGGAACTGTTATCCGATTAATCTCTTTAACAAATAGCATCCAACATGCGAGAGAATGTATTTTAAGGTAAAAAAAGGAAAAGACAAAAAGTGGGCCATGTGGGTGAAAAGACAATAACATCTTCAATATGTTCAGTGCGTGCAAGAAAAAAGAATGTAAAAGGATGGCGAATGAAATTTATTGAGGTAAGAAATTGATGCAAATCTAAAGTCAAATGTGAAAGTCACAAGATAATTTGTTCTCTGCCTGTTGTCAATTCCATTTTGGTCCTTCTCATTCTTGATTGCGAATTGGTGTCGTTTCCATTATTGACCGTGTAAAGGTTGACAGTTGAATATTTTAAAACAAGACACTTTTGTGTCTCTGAGTGTAGTGGGATGGATAAGGTCACATTTTAATTTGAATTAATTTTGCGTCGTATTTTTAGACTTTTTTTTCTTAGAAGAGCTCGCTGAGTGAGATTTTAAAAATACAATTGAGATGGAATTGAATTGGTAATGAGAGAGCAAATTTGAGATTTTTGGTTTGGATTTTATTGCTTTCTTTATTTTTATTTGAATTGCATTTAAAGTTGGTTTAAATTTGCTGATATTTTCTTATTTAGAGTCATTTTGTAGGTTAAAAGGGGTACACAGGTTTGGAGGGCTCACAGGTATATAATATTGGGGGGTCCACAGGTGCAGAAGGTCTACAGGTTGAAGGGGTCCACTGGTTGAAACGGACCACTGGTTGAAGAGGTCGACAGGTTTGAAGGCGTTCAAAGGTTTAAGGGGTTCACAGGTTTAAGGGGCTCACAGGATGAAGGGGTTCACAGGTTGAAAGGGTCCACAGGTTGAAGAGGTTTCAAAGTTTAAAGGCGTTTACAGGTTTAAGGAGTTCACAAGTTTAAGGGTTGACAGGTATAAGGGTTCACAGGTTAAAGTGGTCCACAAATTTAAAGGCGTTCAAAGGTTTAAGGAGTTCACAGGTTTAAGGAGTTCACAAGTTTAAGGGGTTCAAAGGTATAAGGAGTTAACAGGTTTATTGAGTACACAGGTTTAAGGAGTTCACAAGTTTAAAGGCGTTCACAGGTGTAAGGGGTTCACAGGTTTAAAGGCGTTCACACGTTTAAGGAGTTTACAAGTTTAAGGTGTCCAACGGTTCAAATCTTAAGCCTATCAATCTTCTCCCTCAAATAAAACAATCCAGACAACTTAGAATCATTTAATTTCCTTTCAAATCTCTGCAGCTTCCCGTTAAAAGCTCCAGAATTCAATATTTTTGCATCATTGCTTAGCTCTTCAACATCCCTATTGAATCCCAAAAATTTAGAATTCATGCATTGCTTCTTTACTTTTCCAATTCCAAACCTAACCTTCTCATCATCCTCACAAGCATTAAAACCAATGCAAGGGACATTATCAAGCCATATGCAACTCAAATCATTTAAAGAATCAAAGACTTTTGAGTCAATATGAATTATTTTACTTTCCCAGAGTCCAACAGCTTTTAATTTGGGATTATAGCTGAATAGACCTTCCTCTATAACCTCAATAGAATTGTAGGATAAGTCAAAATATAGCAAATTGACAAAAGGCTCCAAATCAGATTGGTGGATTACTTTTAAGCCACAGCGTTCAACTTTAATGAATTCGATATGTCGGAAAAAATTATTCAGACCTTTTGGGAAGAAGTGGATTGTCTTCTCGCTAGCAAAGAAGCCATGAACAAAATTATAAGTTCTTTTTGGTGTCGCTAATCCATCAATTGTGTTGATGACTGCTGACTTTTGGGTTGTTATGGATGGATCAGTATCAATTGAGCATAGATAGACGTAACCTATGACAGGATAGAGTTCACTGCCTTGAAAATTACATTCAATGTTAGTTGATGATGATAAGAGCACTTGCGAGAGGATGAAGCATGCGATGAAGCTATAAATAGATTTGTGATAAGAGTTTTTGTTATTTTGAGCTATTTTAGGAACAATTTTAATAAGTTTTGACTTACAAAATTTTTGGCATTTTTGTAAATTTATTCTTGAATTTCCTCTTAAGTACCCTAGTAAGGCACTGTAAGCTACAACAGTTATTCACATAATATTCTAGAAAAATGAATTTTGAGCGACCTAATTCTCAAATTTGTTATCTGCCGCTCAAAAATGAGAATAAGCTTAGTTATTAACCGGGAGAAGATCTATAAGAATTTTTTCAAAAAAATGTTCATTTTTAAAGGTTTTAATGCTCAGGGGCGTAGCAAGGAATTTGAAGAGGGGGGGGGGATTTTTTAGGGGAGGGGGGGGGGGGTGATTTTTTCATAAAGACCCTAGCAAAATTAAAAAAATTCTGTTTACGTTGGGGGATTTGTCCCCCAAATCCCTCCCCCCCCCCCAGTATGAATCAGATTATACGGATGTATGGACCGTCTTCTTCAGTTGTCTCTAAGATTAGTCAAAAATCAAATGAGCCCCCGCATTTATGTCATCAGTTCCAATTTATAAATATCTTCTAATTCTATTATCCACAAAGGTTGTCATCGCCACATCAAAGCCTTCAAGATTAACATTGTCCTTTGACAAGCTCGCAAACTTAATAAAATTGAAACTAAATTTAGCACAACTTTGCAATAATCTCGTAATTTATTTGATCCATCAACAATTTTTCCCTAATGAACATGAGCTGAGTTAAAATGTAAGCACTGAATTATCCACCAACACACAAAACTTGGGCAGGATGAGTATCTTTTACAGAGAAAAATCAACATGATGAATTTCAGCATTTTATTGAGATGAAAATTTCCGAGTCAATTCAGTCATGAAACTAAATTTAGCCCACGTGCGGATGATTTTGTGTTTGTGGGGATTTTTGGAAGATTTTTAAAAGATTTTTGAATCTTTAAATAATTTTTGAATTTTTGAAAATTTAAATTTTTAAAAATCGTCAAGAATTTGAATTTTTGAGAACCGTTAAGAATTTGAATTTTTGATAACCGCTATAAATTTGAAATTTTTAGAAACCGTTAAAATTTTGAATTTTTGAAACCCGGTAAAAATTCAAATTTTTTAAAACCGGTAAGAATTTGAATTTTTGGAAACCGTTAAGAGTTTGAATTTTTTGAGAACCGTTAAAAATTTGAATGACCATCGAGTTTCTGACAAAATCCTTCTAAGGAACCAATCAGCATAAAATAACTCAAGCTCTTTGTTCCATCACCTCCGCTGTTTTCTGAACGAATCGGAAGCAAAAATAATTTTCGTCACTTCATCAAAATAAAAGTTTATTTTTGGCTTTTTTGTGCTTCTTCGCTTGACTCATCAATGATTGCCGAATTCTAGGAATGCAAATTAGCTGATTGAATTTTTGGTGCTGTTAATTTTGATGGAAATGAGCTTTTTGATATCTTTTAGTTGATTTTGATGATTTGTCTAATTTTGAGTGTGTCTACATCTAAACTACCCCCGAAGCTATCCACATTGCTCCTCAGATCCCAAAAAGTATTAAATATCACTCATTATCCCAAAAATCATCACAAGAACCCAAAAAAACAAAATTTGCCATTTATGCCGCATTACCTTTACAATTCAAAATGGGATCTTTGTGTCTAAAATCTACAAATCCATTCTGAAAATCCTCTATTGTTCCATTTATAAGACTAGAATAGCAAATTGAGATGTAAATATTCAAGCCCAACAAAAGAAGAAGTAACGGAAGCCATTAAGATCTATGGGACATGTAAAACTGCATGAATCTTTAAGCCTTACAACACAAGCAAAACGTAATTTATGTATTAAGGAACTTTTATGCGGAACGGATGGGATAAATAATTAAAAGAAGGCAGAAAATTAGTTTCGATATTTTCATGGCAATTATAGGCAGCAGTTTGTTGTAGGGGGTAAGAAATGCTTGGTAATTTGTTAATGTGAAAAGTTTCTTTGATTAATTATTCAATTTTTGGAGCAATTAAAAATTTAGTTGTTCCATCAGGAAGCTATTTTGACCTGTCTACAGATTTATTTGTCCTTTTTTGGAGCGAAAATGGTGCGGGAAGGATAAATGAATAAAATGTTAATAGTGTGAATGCACCTGAACCTGGAAACTTTATTCTAAAGACACCTTAACCTCAAAACGCTGGTGTGAAGTCGACTGAATCTCAGAACTTTGGTGTGGAGGCATCTGAAGCTAAAACTTTTATGCGAAGGCACCTGAACTTAGCAACTCTGGTGTGAAGGCATTTGAACCTTAAAACTGTAGTGTGAAAGCATTTGAACCTTAAAGCTCTAGTGTGGAGGCACGTTAACCTTGCAACACTAGTGTGAAGGTATCTGAACATTAAAACTCTAATTTGAAGGCACCTGAACTTAGCAACTCTATTGTGAAGGCATCTGAACATTAAAACTCTAATGTGAAGGCACCTGAACTTAGATACTCTGGTGTGAAGGCATCTGAACCTTAAAACTCTAGTGTGAAGGCATTTGAACATTAAAACTCTGTTGTAAAGACGACTGAATCTCAAAACCTTGATATGAAGGCACCTGAGCCTCAAAACTCTGATGTGAAGGCGTCTGAGCTTCAAAACGCTAATGTAAAGGTACTTGAACCTGAAAATTCTGGCGTGAAGACACCTGAACCTCAAAACGGTGGTGTAAAAATTCCTAAATTTTAATAATCTATTGTGAAGACGACTGAATCTCAAAACTCTGGTGTGAATGCACCTGAACCTTTAAACTCTAATGTGAAGGCACCTGAACCTAGCAGCTCTAGTGTGAAGGCATCTTATAATCAGAATTCCAGTTTAAAGGCACAGAAGGTATAAAATTCTTGCAATTTTCAACTCAAAAGCTTTAAAAAGATCACAACAAGCTTATAACTTCCATTAAAAAATTTTTAATCCCCTCACTCATGCAGAAAATCTCATTTTAACTGAAAAAATTTAATTTAAAAAAATCCACTCGATTACTACACATTCAGAGTACATAAAGTGAATCATACAAGTGACGAAAATCTCATATTGTTCATTTCATTAACCCCATTTTATCGCATTTTCATGCTTTTAATCTTATCTAACGTGCTTGCAATTTCCATCGCACACTTTTTTTTCTCTCTTACATCTTTTGCTTTATTTATCACAATATCATATTGTTGAATTAATATGATACATAAACATACACGAGATAAATGGATACATGAAGATTGGGACGGGTAAGGGATATGAATGAAGATTTGAAGGTTAAATGCTTTTGTTGAAAGTTATGTTGGGTTTTGTATATTAAAACATTAGAATCTTGAGTTTCAGGTGCCTTCACAATAGTGTTTTAAGGTTCAGGTGTCTACACTTTAAAGTTTCTGGTTAAGGTACCTTTACATTCGAGTTTAAAGGTTTGAATGCCCTCTTACTAAATTTTCTAAAGGTGTCTTTACACTAGAGTTACTAAGTTCAGGTGCCTTTACATTAGAGTACTCAAGTTCAGGTGCCTTTACACGAGTGTTTCTAGGTTCTGGTCCCTTCACAATAAAGTTGTTTGGTTCAGGTGCCTTCACATTAGAGTACTCAAGTTCAGGTGCCTTCACACTAGAGTTCTTGAGTTCAGGTGCCTTTACACTAGTGTTTCTAGGTTCAGGTGCCTTCACAATAAAGTTGTTTGGTTCAGGTGCCTTCACATTGGAGTTCTTAAGATCAGGTGCCTTCACACTAAAGTTGCTAGGTTCAGGTGCCTTCACGCTAAAGTTTCTAGTTTCAGGTGCCTTCACAATAAAGTTGCTAGGTTTAGGTGCCTTCACTCTTAAGTTGTTTGATGCAGGTGCGTTCACACCAGAGTTCTTAAGGTCGGGTGTCTTTATACTAAAGTTGCTTTTTTTGACTAAAGTTGCCTTCACACTAGCGTTGCTAGGTTCAGGTGCTTTCACACTAAAGACAAATTTACAAATAGATGAACTTAAAAATGATTTTCATTCCAAAAAATATTTTTTTTAATAATTAAGTTGAAAAAAATTAAAATAAATTCAATAATATTCCCCAAAAACCTCAATAAAATCCTTAACTTTCTTAGGCTTGTCCATCCAAATTGATGGAAATTCAGGATATGACTTTTTAATTTCTTCGAAAGCTTTTTGCTTCATTTCATAATGTTTGTGTTTGTTGCTCAGCATCAGGACTTCAACTGCATTCTGCTGGTTGATTTTGTCCATAACTTTTGAAGCTGCAAACTTTTTAAGCTCCAAAATGTCCAATCGACTAGCTGCTGCATATAAATGATTATAGTTTATGCATTTATCATCACCTGGAAGTTCATCAGTGTAGATGTACATCAAAATTGTCTCAAAGATATTAACAGAAATGTCCTCAAGGATCAAAAAGTCAGCATTAGGATTTTGAGTCATAAATTCAGCAAGAGTTGAACTGCGAGCAGCAAGGATGAATTTGTGAACTTGAAATTCTCGATCATCAATTTGGATTCGGAAGTCTTTAAAGTTTTGATTTTGTAGAAAGGTTTTGATGTCTGTGTGGAAGCTGGATTGAGGCTGGCTTTGGTTCTGGAGGTGTTTTGACTTTTCTAGCTGAAGGCTGATCTTATAGCTCATCTCAGATTGTTTTAACTTTTGAAGGTTTGCAGTCAAAGTGTCTTCGGAAGTTGTCATAAATTGAACTAGTTGCTGTAGATGCTGCTGTGATTTCTTGAGCTTTTGGTTCTCTTCTGTTAGAATTTTGTGGGATTGCTCTAGATTTTGAGTTTTAATCCTTAATTTCCGCCTGGTTCCTTTAAGTCGCTTGATTTTATTTTGAAATTTATTGGTGAAAATTTTGTTATTTTTTGAGGTTAGAGTGATGAATTTTTTGATCAATTCTTCTCGTATGTCATTGATTGTTGAGGAATTGGATGCTTGATCAGATGAATACCAGCAGTCATAGTTGATGTTCCCCCGAAAGTCTACAAAGTTGATTTTTTCAAGACCATCTAAAATATTTGGCTGGATAATCTTCAATTTATTCTCGGGAAATGACACTTTTTGGATATTTTTGCAGTTTTCGAACAAGTTTCCAGGCAGGAACTCAACATTGTTGTTGATGCTTGAGAATTCTTCAAGGTTTTCACAATTTTCTAATTTTTCAAGCTTTGTTAATTTTGAATTTTCAATTTTAAGGACTTTTATGTTTGAAAACTGAGCAAGAAGAGCTTTTGGGAGCTCCTGAATGCTGCAATTTATAATGTAAACACACTGAACATCTTCATTTGTCTTTTCTGCTTGATGTTCACCAATAATCTCTAATAAAGAGGAGTTGAGGAGCTTTTGACTATCAATTTCACAAATATAGACTTCAGAATCTAACTTAGAACTGCTAAACTTGCACTCAATCTTCATTGTTGACACTTACAACTTTAAAATTGAGTAAAAACGAAAGTGGATTGATCTGTAAATTGACAAATAAACAACTGAATAAATACAAAAATAAATTTTTTCGTATAAATGTTTATTATCTTATCAAAAGAATGATTAAAAATTGAAGATAAGATTGGGAAAATTCGGAGAATTAAGCCTATTAATACCGCAATGTTTGTTTATTATTCAATATCTTCTGATAAGTTCAAAAGTTTAAGATTTGCTTATCTAAGCTGATAAAGAATTGCATTATGTTATCAAAATTCTTTTATTCAATTGTTCACATTTGAAAACTTTTGATCCCCCGGAACCCAAAAATTCTTAAAAAAAAATAAAAAAAAATTTAACTTTCACCAAAAATTTCAATAAATTTCTTGACTTTTTCAGGCTTGTCAATCCAAACATCCGGAACCTCTGGATAAGCCTTTTTAATCAGTTCAAAAGCTTTTTCCCTCATTTCATTATTTTTGAATTTATTGCTTAAAACGAGAATTTCAATTGCATTTTCGGGATTCAAACTTTCAAAAGCTTTTGGTTCTGCAAATATTTTAAGTTCATTGATCTCTAATCGACCGGCTGCTGAATAAAGTTGTAGATAATTGATTTTTTCATCGCCTGGAAGTTCATCGGTGTACATAAAATGTAGAATTATCTTGAAAGTTTCCGGAGTAATGTCGACCAATTTTAAATTTTCAGCTTCAGGATTTTTGAGGAAAATTTCAGCCAAAGTTGGACTTCGAGCTGCAAGGATGAATTTGTGGACTTTTAATTCTCGATCATCGATTTGGATGCAGAAGTCTTTAAAGTTTTGGTTTTGTAGGAACTTTTTGATGTCTGAATTTAATGTAATTTTATTATTATCAATATTTTTGGTCTTTACTAATTCTTGAATTTCATTCTGCAATTTAATTTGATTTTTAGCAATCTTTGCTGCTTTATTTTGGAGTTCTTGGTTTTCAGCTTTTAAACTTTTGTTTTCAGTCGATAATGTTCGTTCATTTTCTTCAAGTTTACAAACCATTTGATTCAGGTCAGCTTCGGTGACTTTGCATCGAGCATTAGTACTTTTTAATTTTTGTTTAGCCACTTCCAATCTGTAAACTTTTATATTTAGCTTTTGTATTGAATCTGTCAATTTATGAATTTTATTTCGAAATTTTCTAACATATTTTTTAATGTTTTCTGGATCGGATGAATAAAAAGTTTCAATTAATTTCTGTCTCAAGTCATTTAGTGTGATATCTGTGGATTTTTCATTTTTTGAGAAGCAACAGTCATAGCTAACATTATTAGAGAAATCCACTAAATCCAGCTTATTTAAACCATCAAGAATGTTTGGCTCAATTACGCTTATTTTATTTCCATTAAATGAAATACTTTCAAGATTATTAAAATCTTCAAATAAATTTCCAGGAAGAAATTTTACCAAATTTCGATCACAATAAAATCCTTTCAAATTTTTATATTCCAATAAATCAACTCTGTTAATTTCCTCTAAATTTGTATCCTCAATATCCAAAACTTCTAAATTCGGAAATGTATTTGTGATGTCTTTTGGAATTTTTTTGAGTTTACATTTTGCTATATTTAAATATTTAACATCTTTATTGGTTTTGCCTGGTGGATGTTTAACTTTTAATATATAAAATAGCTCGTGCATGGAGCAATCAGAGATTTTATAATAATTTAAATTTTCATCTTGTTGGACAAAGTTACAAATCACATTAAACATACTTCAGGAATGATCTACAGAAAATGATTGAATTTATAAGTTACAATTATCGCTCTTAATCCATTATAGGTATAAATATTGAGTAAACTTGGCACAGAAATGTCTCATCTTACTTTTTACTCATTCCTAATGTAACCACTCAATGCCTTTTATGGCAAACAACTAAGAAATATTTTTACTGTTCATACAAATAACAATAAATTTTTAATCTAATCGACATGCTGATAAGAATTAATTTTCTAGGAAAAGTTAACTGCGTATTTTATTTCCTGTCTTTTGACCCTCAACCACCACCTCTTGCCGTCTCATGGATAAGTCGTGTGTACTGGTGACTTTAACCCAGAATAGTCTTTCCATGGCTTTCCACGAGGGCGTATTGCCACGCTTAGAGATCATCTTAAGACAACTTTATCCTTAGAAATCTTCTGCCTACCTTCTGACTCTAGCGACATATCCAATCGACGAAATCTTCGGTCTTCCTTGGGAATGCTCCTTAATACTTTAAATACTAAGAATATTAATGCATCAATTTTTAATCTTTTTAAATTTTATTACACAAATTTATAAATTGAACCTTATTTAAATGAATTGCTCATAGCTAAAAATTACATTTCTCTGTTTTCTGGTGATAAATTTTAAAATTGTTAATTTAATTTCCACCAAAAACTTGAATAAATTTCTTGACTTTTTCAGGCTTATCAATCCAGTTGTCTGATAAATCCGGGTTAACTTTTTTGATCTCTTCAAAAGCTTTTTGTCTCATTTCATAATTTTTGAACTTGTTGCTTAAAATAAGAACTTCAACGGCATTTTTTTGATTTATGTTTTCCATAACTTTTGGAGCTACAAAATCTATCAATAAGTTGATTTTCAACATCGATGCTGCACCATAAAGCTTAACAAAATCGGTATTTTCATCACTTGGAAGCTCATCAGTGTAAATAAAATGCAAAATGTCCTCAAAAGTGTCAACAGCAATGTCGGGTAGATTTAAATTTTCAGCTTCTGGATTTTCAAGAAATTTGTCAGCCAGAGTTGGACTTCGTGCTGCGAAAAGAAACTTGTGGACTTTGAATTCACGATCGCTAATTTGAATTTGAAGATCACGATACTTTTGGTTGTCGATGAAGTTTTGAATGTCGGCGAGAAGATTTTTGCGTTCATTCCACTTTTTAAGTTCTGCTTTTAAATCTTTTTCAGATTCTTCTAAATTTTGAACTTTTTCTCGTAATTTTTTATTTGAGCTTTTTAATTGCTCAATGCTTGTTTGCAATTTTTGAACAAAATTTTTAATTTCTGGTGATTCTGAGTCAAAGAATTTTTTGAATAGTTCGTCTTTTAGTTCCTGCATTGTGAGATAATCAGTTCTAGCTGCTCCAGTTGATGAAAATTGAATATTGTAGTTTGTATTTGACCTTAAACCGACGTAGGACAATTTATTGAGTCCATCTAAAATATTCGGTTCTATTGTTTTAAGCTTGTTATCATTAAAACTTATAACTATTAAATTTTCGAAATCCTCAAATAAATTAGCCGCCAAAAACTCAATATCGTTTTTAATGGAGACAAATACTCCTATAGACTTATATTCAGCTAGGTCATTCTTGGTAAGTTGTTTCAAATTAGAATTTTCGATCCACAAGGCTAATAAGTTTGGGAATATTTTTGTGAACCCTTGCGGTAATTTGGGAGTGTTGCAATTTTCCAGATGTAAATAAATCACATCTTGGTTAGTCATCTCTTCCAAATGAAGTCCATGAACACTTTTTACGTTTGATTCAGGAAATTCATAGTCTAAAACTTTACACGTATAGAATTTTTCGTCTAATGAAGGATCATTGTATGCGAAAGTGCACGGAACTGCCATTTTAAACTAAAATTTAAATTTTAAGGTTGTCAAATTTTTAATTTCCTTTCGTTTTGTTCGCCAAATGTTGAACTAATAACACATTTTTTTAGAATAATAAACTTATTATTTATTAATCTTATCTTATCGAAGCAAATTGATAAGGCTAGTCAATGGTTTTAAACCTTTTGAGTTCATTTTTTTGCCATTTCATATCCTCAAGTAACTCTTCAAATACCAAAATAAAATATATACTTTTTTCCATCCATTACTTTCCGCATCTAAATACTTCAACAATTACAAAAAAATATTTTTTTCTCATTTTCACTCACTCGAAAATAACAAACACACAAACCGTACAACACAAATTTATTAATTTTCCATTTCACAGAAAAGTGGATTTAATGAAACAACAACTTTGTGGGATTAGCTTGAATGAGCTGAAAAATGGGGTTTGGCAATTAGAAAGTCTTTTCGAGCGTCTAGAGCGCATTTTTTACAATTTTTGTTCCTAAATGTCAGACTTAAGTGCTTAATCCAGAGCTCGAAGTCGATAGGGTTCGAGTCGACTCGAGTCGACTTCATTTTTTCTGAGTCTTTGGTTTCTGAGTCTTGACTTCTGGCTTAATCTAAGTTGGAAGAAGTTGAAAAATCTCAAGAAACCTCCAATCCTTCCCGACTATGTCTCTACCGTTGGTTTCTAGAGCTATTCATTGTTTCCGTCTCTTTTTGACTATGGATACCATTCCCTTGGCAACCTTTGCTCAAGAAACTAGTATTTTCACTCAATCAGACCAACCAGCTTTCAAGTAATAGGACATTTAGTCAAAACTAACCCAAATCCACTCTCCATCATCAATCTCTCATCAACGAAAAACTTCCCCCTCATAAAAAAAAGAGGATGAAAAGGAAATGAAAAACTTTTTACATCTACAGCTACAGCTTCTTCGCCATATAACCTTCCGATTATATTTTCACGCATGGTTGGATGAGAAAATAGAAAATTATGTATATGCTGGAACTTTTCTTTTCCTCTTTTGTGCCCTTTTTCCGTTCTATTCTCCCCCCGAAAAAAAACACTTATCTATGTTTTTACTCCAACATAATCACTCTTTTTATATTCAGAGAGAGGAACAAAAAGATATATTGAGTTGTTGATGTGATGTGGATGGAAAGTTTTTTTTTTTGATGGGTTTGAATAGTTTTAATGGTGTTTGTGGTTTGGGTAGCGCATTTAAAATTTGTTGGAATTTTGCTTGACTTGAGTTCAACTCGACTAGATTTTAGCTTGGCTTGATTTTATTTTGACTAAAGTTCAGCTTGATTTGAGTTCAGTTTGACTTGAGTAAGCTTAACTTGAGTTTAGTTCTACTTGAGTTCAGCTCAAGTTGAGTTCTGCTTGACTTAAGTTTAGTTCTACTTGAGTTTAGTTCAACTTGAGTTCAGATTGACTTGAGTTCAGCTCGACTTGAGTTTAGCTCGACTTGAGTTTAGTTCTACTTGAGTTCAGCATGACTTGAGTTTAGCTCAACTTGAGTTTAGTTCTACTTGAGTTCAGCTCGAGTTGAGTTCAGCTTGACTTGAGTTTAGCTCGACTTGAGTTTAGTTCTACTTGAGTTCAGCATGACTTGAGTTTAGCTTAACTTGAGTTTAGTTCTACTTGAGTTCAGCTCGAGTTGAGTTCAGCTTGACTTGAGTTTAGCTCGACTTGAGTTTAGTTTGACTTGAGTTTAGTTCTACTTGAGTTCAGACTGACTTGAGTTCAGTTCAACTTGAGTTTAGCTCTACTTGAGTTCAGTCCTACTTGAGTTCAGATTGAATTGAGTTCGTCTCGACTTGAGTTTAGCTCGACTTGAGTTTAGTTCGACTTGAGTTTAGTTCTACTTGAGTTCAGACTGACTTGAGTTCAGTTCAACTTGAGATTAGCTCTACTTGAGTTCAGCTCTACTTGAGTTTAGCTCGACTTGAGTTCAGCTTGACTTGAGGTTAGTTTGACTTAAGTTCAACTTGAGTTGATTTCAGCTTTACTTGATTTTAGCTCGACTTTAGTTTTGCTCGACTTGAATTTAGCTCGACTTGAACGAAAGTTCACTTTAGTTAAGTTTGACTTGAGTTTAGCTCGACTTGAGATCAGATGGATTTGAGATCAGATCGACTTGAGTTCAGCTCAATTAGAATTCAGCTCGACTTGAATTCAGCTTTACTTGATTTCAGCTCAACTTGAACGAAGCTTAACTTGAGGTTAATTTGACTTGAGTTCATCTTGAGTTGATGTCAGCTTGACTTGAGTTCATCTTGAGTTGATTTCATCTCGACTTAATTTCAGCTTTACTTGATTTCAGCTCGACTTGAGTTCAGATCTACTTGAGTTCATCTTAACTTGAGTTCAACTCGACTTGACTTCAACTCGACCCGAGAAGACTAAATCTAAACTCTAATAACCAATTTGTAAGAAATAAAGCTAAAAGCCATAAAAAGAACCAAAAAACTTTTCAACAATCTAATAAATGAACTACAAAAGCACTACAAATCCCAAGATCCATTCACACATGCCATAAATGATTTTATAGTGTTTCTTTGGATATACAAAAAGCAAAAGTATGGGATGACTTTGAATTCCTTAAAATGGGTTAAAAACTTTTCATTTTAGAAACAATTTTGAGGTTTGCAGGAAGCTTTGTCGATAGATGTGAAGGCACAAAAAAAAGGCAAAACATGAAAAAAAAACTTTGGATTCAAATGAATATAAATTTTGTGTTAATGGTACTCGTAAGGTTTTTCTGGTTAAGCAGCATGAAAGAACATTCAATTTCCACTCCTTCCTTTCTTTTTTGAGTGAATAGAAATTAATTTTCAGAAATAAAGTTTGAAATTATTACATTGTGGGATGATCCAATAAAATGGAAATTACATATGTGGTGGTTTGGGAACTTTTAAGCATCAAACAATTTTCCTACATGCTATAATCTGACATTTGATGGGAGTTTGAATGTTTCAATGGATGTTAGGGAAAGATTTACGGCTTAAAATTATTTTCTAATGAGAATTCCAATTATTTTCTCAACTATTTAATTTCTATTGTACAGGAAAGTTATAAGCTGATGTTAATAGGGTGAGAATTTACATTCCATGAGTGATACACGATGTGGCATGAGCAATTCTAATGGAATTTATGTCTAAACGACCCTCATAGTCGTGTGCATCGTGCGACTTTGGATGATTTTGATCAATGTGACTCAAAACCGCATGAAACACACGACTATTGACCATTTTCATCAACATTGACACAAAACCGTATTGAGCACACGACTTTTGACCATTTTCATCAACAGTGACACAATACCGCATGGAGCACACGACTATTGACCATTTTCATCAACATTGACACAAAACCGTATTGAGCACACGACTTTTGACCATTTTCATCAACAGTGACACAATACCGCATGGAGCACACGACTATTGACCATTTTCATCAACAGTGACACAATACCGCATGGAGCACACGACTATTGACCATTTTTATCAACAGTGACACAATACCGCATGGAGCACACGACTTTTGACCATTATCATCAGCATTGACAAAAAACCGCATGAAACACACGACTTTAGACCATGCTCATCAACAGTGACACAATACCGTTTGGAACACACGATTATTGACCATTTTGACCATTTTGAACCACACGACTTTAGAGTGCACAGAACAAACCGTTTCAAAAAATCTTTAAAGGAGTTCCCCAAAAAAGTTCAAAAGCCCTGCAGACTTGCAGACCAATTGCTTCAAAAATCAATAATTTCTCCGAAATCCTGTCAATATCTGACCTTCCGTACTCACTGACCCATCAAATTTCAAAGAAGAAAAAAAAAGCACAAACTTTTCAAGTTCATCGCCCCAAAAAACAACTTTCTTTTTGTGTGCATTAACATTCATCCTCGCTTGAAGCCATTCACCATCAGCAGCATCAAAACCCGCAACAATTTTTTTCTCTTTTCATAAAATTGAAATTCACACAACGTAAAAGTGGAGAAAAGAAATTCTTTTGAAAAAAGTTGATTAAATGAGAAATCCTCGATAAGTGGTTCTGCTGCTAATCTCCTGTTTTCTGAGACAGTGATAATCTGCTATGCTGAGTATTTAGATGATACCTTTGGGATGAGATGATGTTTTTGATGAATTTTTGAGATGATACAAAATGAATTTATTTGAGGTTAGGTAGATTATGGATTGCTGGGTCGTTTTGACTTGATATTGGGTTTATGGATAGAAAACGTAACCAAAGTCGTGTGTTTTGTGCAGTTTTGGGTCACATTTGATGATTATGGTCATGATTCGTGTGCTACATCCGATTTAAAGCCACATTTGACGAAATCTGTTCAAAGTCGTGTGTTTCATGCGGTTTTGTGTCAGTGCTGATGAATTATGGTGCAAAGTCGTGTGCTCAATACGGTTTTGTGTCACTGTTGATAAATATGATCTAAAGTCGTGTGTTCCATGCGGTTTTAAACCATCATTTATGAAAACTGTTCAAAGTCGTGTGCTCCATGCGATTTAAAGCCACATTTGATGAAAACTGTTCAAAGTCGTGTGCTCGATACGATTTTGAGCAACATTTGATGAAAACTATCAAAAGTCATGTATTCAGTACGGTTTTAGACCAAGTCTCATAAATATTAATCCACAAAACCTCTTCTCAACTCCTTTATTGTCCATCCCACTCAATAAATATTAATTCAAATAATATCTCATAAATTTTGATGGACATCCCACACATCTTATTTAATTCTGACCTCACATTTACCTGGAAAAAAATTTTTCCTCATGAAAACATAATTAATGAGCAGCACATATGAATAAATCATCATCATAATCAGAAACATCAACAAAATTAACAAACTTGGACAAGCTTTTCCGAATTAAAACTTTTGTGCTTTTTTTACTGGAAAAAATTCATCAAAGCGTAAAATTTGCTTTTTCGTCTGAATGGCTAGCAACAAATTAAATCAATTGATGTTGTGAGGGTTCTTGTGAATTTTTGGAAGCTATAATGCTTAAAAATAATATTTGAGGTTAAG